TGTTGTGTAATTCATCTCCCTTTCCATGTCCCTGTTCTACAGCATGCTCCACCTTCCTTTTTGCTCTTGCTTGCATCCTCCGCTCTTTCAGTTTCTGTTGACATCGGTGGTCACTCGACTTGCAGAGCACATTCTCTCCTCCTCTCTCTGTATGTGTTTGGGGTAAGAGGGCACAAATAGCAGCCTGCCTACCTGCTTGACTCCAGACCTGTTGACTTGGAGCTTGTTTGCAATGCTGAGAGTTTACTATGGCGTGCTCATAAGGATGTGGCTACTCCTGACATTCAGATACTGTCAATAGATCACTCAAATTGTCCACGTTTCCATCAGTGGTGAAATGTAACACACGGTACACATTACGAATCAAAGACACACTGCAGTACTACGTGTGAGAGACCGTATGACTGTAATGAATAACACAGGAAAGCAAACAAAAACTCTTTTCATAAAACGCACCAGTCTCCAAGGCTATGCTGCTGTGAGAGCTGCGTATAATATTCCTGAACTATGAAAATGACTGTAAAGCACACAGGTAAAATGCACCAGAGAAACACAGAGAAGTTAGTAAGTTTGCCAGAGGGATGAGCTGCACTGCTCAGGGCACCATGGGTTTTAACTGTCAGCCAATCTGATTGGCCAGGCAGCAGGATGTATTTCATCTCAGCTGCTGGTGACTCCAGTGCTATTTATTCCATCAAATCTGTATCATGCTTTTTAGTCAGAGCCCAACTCTGCAACACGGAAGCATGAAATCCCATTGTGCCTTGCACCTCTATTATGAATGGAATTATTTGTTTGTTTGTTTTTAAAGAAAATCACTAAGTGGTTTTAATCTTTGCCGGTTTTTATATTGCCAGAGGGAATGTGGTTGTCGTCCAACCTCTTGCAATGTCACACTTAAAAGGGAAGCTAGCAGTTTGGAGCTGGCTAATGGGTGTTCTGGGTGGTTTCTCGCCATCTCTGTGTCGTTCTTTGGCTTTTGTCTCATTGAAGGAAAGAGAAGCAAAGGTTCATTGATCCTGGCTGGTGGTCAGCAGTGGCTGACGGTGATGTGAAGATTCCCACCACTGTTGGCTGGAAAGCCAAGAAGCAAACATCAGGTTTTTATAAATCAAAATTTGTTAGAGAGTATTCAACCTTGACCTAACCTTAATGAGCCCACCAGGGACACTACAACGCCGTCCACCTCTGACACGGGGGTGTCTGAAAACTAATGGAGGAGACAGGAAGAAATGTTTGAAGAGCATGCATAAGGAAAACAGGACAGACAGAGACACCAAATTAAATACCAGAAGAAAAAAATCATAATATAAAGAGATCGAAGCAGAGAGAAACTAAGGCTCATAAAGATGGAACTAAGGCAAGTAATGGCTCCAACCCCTAGTCTCCATCTCGCACACCAGAGAGCAAAGATTTCATTCAAGAAGGTCAGACAAAGTAGCAAGATGGGCCACTGAGGGGGGACTGTGGGAGACCAGCCTTCTAATCACAACAAGCCTGACAGGCAGAGCAGAGAAAAAGGTACAGGTCTCAGAACAATCCTCAACACTGTAACTTTTTCCATTTAATATATCTAAAATACTGCAAAAAAAAAAAAAAATCACCAAATCATTAGCATTCACCATCTCAAACACAAGAAATGTATAGTATTAACTGAACAAATGGGTACCCACAATTGGAATATACTGTATAGTGTAAGACCTGCTTAGGTTTGCTTATTTTGAATCCAATAAAATATCTGGTCATAATGATTTCATGTTGCCATTCTGAACAGCACCAGAGAACATTGTTTACTGAGCTTTATTATAAAGAAAGAAAAAAAAATGCAGCCGCCAGCAATTTTGGGCATTGCAGTAGTCAATATGGTGAAGTCAGTTGTTTTTTGATTAATTTTGCAGCCTTAATATACAGACACATGCTGAAGCGCCCATACAAACCCGTCAAAACAAAGCACAACATTTAAAATCTTTGCAGGGCTTATCCTCCTAAGAAGATGCTGCCATGGCAACAACACACTCTCCTTGCGAAACACCACCAGGCTCCCTTTGAACCAAATGAATGAGTCGGCCACAAACGGATCGAGAAGACAAACAAATGAATACATGAATCAGGAATAAAGGCAATAAAAGGAGTTGTGTAGTCTATATGGTCTTACAAAATCATATTTGTCTTTGGCAGAGAAGGCAAGTAGTCCAATAGTCAATTTATTGGATAGACAGTAGCCTACACATGACAACAAATACACTTAAGAGACTGGGTGATTACATGGGGAGGCTGGTGCTCAAGGGAGAAAGGGAAGCAGCTGTGAATAGGTTGTTGTCGATTACAAAATCTTGCTGTATAGAAAAAGAGTATCCATTATAGAGCTATTCGATTTAATCAGCTTTATTTCTACTAGAGAAGCAAAGGAAAAAGCGGGTTTGATGGTAGAGTAGTAACACAAATGAGGCCACAGCCACAAGTACATGTCACAGAATGAGCTAAAATGTTGAACATCCACTCAAAGCCAAATTAGTCCCACAGAGACAAATTTCTGTGTTACTTTCTTAAATTAGTGTGTTCATTAAGTGTGTGTCTCTCTAACCCACTGCTCCCAGTCACCTCTCCTAAACAGATCCTTCAAGTCTACAAACAGGCTCCTACAGTTGAGCAATATTCTTTCAATTCCACCAGTGCTAACTGTACAGTTGGTCACATTGGAATCTTTAAGTTAGCTGAAAAATATAAGACAAATTCACACTGTAGAGGAAATAAAACCTTCCAGCTGTAGTGAAAATACATTTCTGCACCTTTGGAGCAATGCCTTACATGCATAGTTCCATTTTCAGTTTCTTGTAACAGAGAGGATATGAACAACAGTGCCTCCCTTAGGACCTGTGTGTTCAGCCAGCCTTGGCTTTAGTAATTTATTTCAACTTTGTTAAATAAACATTTAATTTCACCAGCATTCATCAGATGAGTGTCTAGATCTCCAGTCAACATGTCAGCTGCCATAATCCAGTTTTTTGTTACACAGATGATGCCTCACCTAAATTTAGCAGCGGCTGTTGTCATCTCGACAGTCAGAAAGCATCCTAACCCACTGGGGCACCTGCTGTCACAGATTTAACTACAGCAAAAAAATAATTAGTGCGGGGTAAAATTAGCAGCCCAGACAGGTAGGGCTTAAAGGACTGTGAAGGTGTGACTGTGATGCCCCTTCCAACCCAACCTGTCTGCGTGTTGGCTGCTTAGTAACCCCCCCACCCCAATAGGAGCCATCAATCTGCCCGACATTACGTTTTGAGTGCTTCAGTTCTAGCTGCCTCCAGCTCTGCTACATCCTACCCAGGACAGATGGCATTGAGCAATGGTTTCAGGGCCTTGCATACATTTGGTTAGAACACACAGAGACAAAAAAAAAAAAATGAACCCAGTCTTGTGCACAGGATGCCCACACACAAACACGCACATAAAGTGGTGTGTGCCAACTATCCTTTGTGTTTTTGTAAATCACTGACACCAAATAGATAAACAGAATACGGTGCATTAGATTACTGCAAAAATGCTCCACAACATCTCCCCGTCTCTTCCATTTCTTCTCCCATTCTGTGGGAGATCTCTTTCTCTCTCTCTCTCTCTCTCTCTCTCTCACTCTCTCTCTCTCTCTCTCTCACACACACACACACACACACACACACAAGCCTGCAGTCACTCTAAACACTGCATTAGCGTACCACCTTCATCCCCTTTAAACATCTCCACAGATCTTCAAAGCTTCAAAACAAGCTGCCATGGAGATAAATAAGAGCTCATCTGTGACAACATCTCTTTAGCACAAGGACAGACACACATTTTTCCCCCTGCCTCTATAAAAATGCTTTCTGTCCACAGAGGAGATGTCCCTATCTGCTATATAGGGCAGGCAAGCTGCCTAAACGAAAAGGGAGAAGCTGAGCTGAGGGGAGCTGCCTTCCCCTTCTTGCCATCGCAGATAAGAACAGAGGTCTTCTTGTCCCTGCTGAATTCTATCATCTAGCAGGCCCTGCCGATTCAAATGCCCCACAACACCAGCCGCAGCATATAAATGTGCCCCATTCTTCGTGCTCTGTGTGAGCATCTATCTGTGTGTATGTGGAGGGGAGCATTTAGGGGAATATGTTCTCATGGCCATGGCGTTTCCTGGGGTCTTTTGAGTGTAAAACCCAATGAAACGATGCTCATAATAAGTTGAAAGATGATTCAGTTGTTGAAGAGGGACCTTTGTCAGTCTGTGTGCATCAATTCAATCGTCCATCTGCAGCACAGGCTGGTTTGCTTGCAGAATTTCCCTTCCACTTATTCATTTCTTATCCCAGACAATATACAACAATGACCCAAATGTACAATGACCACCATATGTGCCATGACTGACCCAGTACTGATGCAATCCCAGCAAAACATTTTGATTAATAAGCTACAAATTCTGCATGTACAAGGGCAGTGAAATGAGCTCAGCCTGAGTGAATAGCAGCCTCTGTTTCACTTCACCAGAGGAGCTGAGTCCATGTCCTCATTAATGGCACAGAGGAGGTAGCTTGTTTAAAATAAAGCATGGATCATTCACAACAGGTGTGACATTAACACACAGCAAATCCATACATATAGGCAACATCCACAAACACGCTACAAGAGCCAGCAGATGGAAGCTGTGCATGTGCAATAAAATGACATTCATTCCACACATTTTCTGGACACCTGCATTGTTTCTGTGAGCTCTTGGTTGCATGCATCTCTATTAATTTTCCCAAAAAAAAAATATACTTTGGAAATTACATGCAGGCATCAGATAATAAACACCAGAAAAATCACTAATTTTACCCACAACAGGCACTTCACATCTTTTTCTTTATAGGTGTCAAAGAAGCGCAATTTACAATGCTAATTAAATGCGCATTAAGATAACCAAACATTCCTCAGTGTGCAACTTGGAATTTTAAGTTATTAACAAAAACATTATTAACATGAAACCCTCCGCCTACCTGTTAGTTTGTGATCCACGGGTGCTTGGAATTTGCCGGATTCCCACTGATGTTTTATGTTCTTCCTGAGATTTCGTCCCTTCTCCTCCTTGTCCTCTAAACCTTTCTTCGGTTGCAGTGAATGACAAGCGAGCAAACAGTACTTCAACGAATATATAACAAAAAAAACAAACAAACAAACAAACAAAAAAACTGCCCCCTGCGACAGCGATGCCTCGTTCAATGCAGCCGGGCCGGTAAGTGGGACTTCATGACTAGAACCAACGCGAGTGGAAACCGAGGAGCAAAGACACAGCTGCTCTAATGCATTACACCCCACGTACACCCCACATACAGCAGCTTAGAGAATGAAGCCCCATTCGAGCAAGCAGACTCGTCTCGCCTCTGTCCGCGTCTTCTCCAGCACGGAATTCAGTTCTCGGCCGTCAGTCCGCTTCCCCTCAGGCACAATGTCTTTTTATCGAGGCCCTTTCATGGCAAAATAACCCGGACGTGGGTGCTGGGACTCGGCGGATTTGACAGCTCGGAAGTGTCACCTGTATTGAACAATGGTCACAGCTACTCTGTTTTTTTTTTTTTGTTGTTGTTGTTGTTATTATTATTATTTTACTTCCCCTTTTTTTCTGGGACGTGGTCGATAAATCCTCATTAAATTCCTCCAAAGAGATGTCCGACACCGCCGAGCAGCGCTTGGAGTCACGGCGTACGCTTCAGCTTCAGACGGACGTGCACTGCGCGGTCCTCCGACAACGTTATCCCTTGAGGAAAGATGCTGTTGCTGCGTGCATGCCGTGCCCGTCTGATCTAGCTGTCGCACTCGCGCACGTGCGCACCCTCGCCAGTACGCACGCTCGTCCCCGACGCGTGACGCGCGTCGTAGTGTCCTCCCCGATAAAGCTGGTCGCCTTGGCAACGCTTTGTTCTGACCTTAATATGCTCTATTATTCTATTATAAAAATGTGTCGCGTTTACCTCCGGCTCTGTGAGGTTAACAACGTTCACGTTCACTCAGCGATAAATACAGGTATTAATCCCCCAGTTTGCATGGGTCGTGTCTTGGGGTTCCTCTCCATCTTCTCCTGCAGAGATGTGAAAAATTACTGCTGAGGAGTTTCATTTTTCAGGCATCCCTCTCCTCCTCTCCTGTGCTTGCATCCAGCTGCATCAGCATGAGGTCAGATGACGTTAAAGCGATACAAGCCCATTTTTTCATCTCCTCCCCTCATCCATCCCTCCACCCTGCATCTGTGCTGTTCCACTGCCACTAAACACCCTAAGCATCGTTGCATCCATCTTGACCTCAGCCTCTGTCCTCCGTCTCTCCATCCATCAGACAGAGAACATGTTAGTCTTTATTTCTGCCTGGGTAATCACTAACCAAAAGTTATAGCATGCACTCCTTTTGAAATAATATGCAGTTTATGCGTGTGTGTATCCTTGATGGATACACACACATCCAGCATGTCAGAGTTCCTTATTTCTCATCGATGCAGCTGGTAATGGCTGTGTGCTTGCAGCACCTGCTCCTCTGGATGCAGCACAGCCACATGTCATTCTTATTACCAGGCTCATAACGCAGCCAAACATCTGCCTCAGTGGCTCTCCCACTGCAGAGCCATGTATCCACAGTTGGTGGGCTGACACCTGCCAGGAAAAGTCTCCCAAAAGAACTTTGAATTTGGCTCTATCCTTGTTGTCATGTTTTCTAGCTGCAGTCACTTAAGCTGGAGTATAGTACTGTAAGTACCACACCCAGAGATATCCAAATGGTGCCCATGTGCTCTCAGGCAGCATCCAGATCTCATTTTACCGCCTAACAGTCATAGCAGTGTTCAGTCACTTCTTTATACAAACCCCAGGCAGGGAAACAGGCTGCTTCTCCACTCATGTGGGGAGCCAGGTTGTCATCAATCAGCCAAAACATCATGTCAGCCCATCTCGCTTTTTACCTTCAGACACCTCAGACTACCTGAGGGACACAGATGAGGCCAGGGGATAGAAGGAGCGAGACTGTTACAATCTCAGCTATCAAGCAAAATTGTCTTTGGCGGTGGATGTACATTCCCCCAGTGATATCCCATCAGGCCAAGGATGCGAGGTAGCAGGCTCGTGTGTGTGCACGCACGTGTGTGTGTGTGTGGGTGTGTGTGGGTGTGCACATAAGAATGTGTGTATCTGCTGTCAGGTCTGCCTTATCTTGTGATGCTACAGGGTCTATCAAAAATAGAACATCAACATCACCCTTGTACATGCACACACACACACACACACACACACACCTCACTTAATGTTTCATACAAGTCCCCTGCAGTTTGTCACTGATGGACTAGGAAACCATGTATAGGTCCCATTTGCTCTCCCCTAACAGAAGAAATTCACACTATCTCGGCCTACACACACACACACACACACACACACAGTGTCATGATGTAATCAATCCTGACATGATAAAGACGTTTTATTTGTTTGTGATGTGCAGCGTGTGGAGTCACTGCATCTTCGACGGTAGTAGTACTGTGAAGAAAGCAGACAAAGAGGGGACTTATAAAGGTAGAATAAGACGCCCAGCCTGTAAAAGTGAATGCTACGTCCTCTCCTTTGTGCCACAAGGAATGAGACAATATATTGCAACAGTTAAAAGTGGAAATTTGCAATAATGCTGGGAATACACATTATAAAACACAGTTCTGTTGTAGTTTTATCAGAGTATTTTTCATTTTATATAAGGTGGAATGTGTGCAAGAGAATGTGGAATATGTTTTTGTTTTTAAAAGGTGAGGGCCCATGATGAGTAATGCAATTTCCAAGAATGTGGATTAATACATTTCACCTCTAGCTCTATGTTGTTATGTGTCAGTTTTCCACTGTGGTGCTCCAGGGGGAGCTGCAGGTGTGCAGCCTCTGCACCATCAAGATACTATGTGCTCTTACTGTATGTCTTCAGAACACCATTATTGTGGGCTGTGCTTGAGTAATGCAGTTCTATGCATAAGGGAAAAGTCAAAAGGCCCTTTGATGTGGCTCTAGGGGCCTGAGCCCTGACAGACCCCTGCCTGAGGCACTCTTTTCTATCTCTTGGATTTCTAGGGAGAACAGATCTGAAATTAACTAGCCGGAGTAGAGCACCCATGAGAAAAAGTAATATGTTCAGACTTGCATATGTGCACACGTATGCACACAAATGACAATTTTTCCACAGATGTAAATGCAAGTATAAACGTGCCCATGTACACTTGTCCAAGCTGCTGTAAGCCACTATCTCAAATATACACACACGTCTGTGGATTTAATATTCCATTAACAACAGGCTGCAACAACTGCTACATTCTGCGATATTACAATCAAATCATTTGTTTGCTCAGAGGTGTTAGCAATAATGTGTCACTGCAATCTCATAAAGACATTAACCTTTCTGTCTGAGGCACCCAGACTATGCCGAAAGCCCATTTTCTTTCCACCTAATTTACTTTCCTGCAAATCTGACCTATTGAGCATGCTCACAAATCCCTTCTGTGTTTGCAGACTGTGGGAGCCCATACTGTCACAGAGATTAAAATCAAATAGTAAAGAGAAACTATTATTTGTTCCTGTATTGACTGGTTATGTATAATGTACACACTCGCCTGTGCACAAGACATATTATATGTACAGTCGCAAGAAAAAGTAATTGCACTGTTTGTAATTTTATGGTTTTCTGCATAAATTAGGCATGGAATGTGATCTGATCTTCACCAAAGTCACAAACACCAACCAGCAACACAATATTACTAGGCTGATAAAACACAGTCATGATCTTTCATGTCTTTGCTGAACACACCCATTAAACATACAAAGTGATGGTGGAAAAAGTGAATGAAATTGTTTTAATAACTGGTTGAACCATGTTTGGCAGCAATAACCTCAACCAAGCACTTCCTATAGCTGTGGATTAGACCTGCACAACATTCAGGAGGAATTCTGGATGATTCTTTACAAAACGGCCTCAGCTCAGCCATATTCTTAGGACGTCTGGTGTGAACATCTTGAGGTCATCCCACAGCATCTCTACTGGGCTGAGGTCTGGGCTCTGACTGGGCTGCTCCAGAAGGTGGATTTTGTGTGTGTGAAGCCATTCTGTAGTAGATTTACATCATTGCTTAGGGTAATTGACCTGCTGCATCACCCAGCTTGTTCTGAGCTTCAGCCACCCTGACATCATCCTGTAGGATACCTGGATAAACTTGGGAATTCATTTTCCTTTCCACAAAGGCAAGTGGTCCAGGTCCAAAGGCAGCAAAGCAGCCCCACATCATGATGCTCCTGCAACCATACTTCACTGTTGGGATGATGTTTTCATCTCAGTACGCAGTTCTCTTCTTACGCCATATGTAGTGCTGTGTGCTCTTCCCAAACAATTCCACCTTCGTTCCATCTGTCCACGGGACATTTTCCCAGTAGTGCTGTGGATTGTCCAGGTGGTCTTTGGCAAACTTCAGGCATGCTGCAGTGTTGGTTTTGGAGAGCAATGGCTTCCTCTGTGGTGTCCTGCCATGGATACCATGCTTGTTCAGTATTTTGTGCATGGTTGACTTATGAACAGAGATGTTAACAGAGATTATATTTGTGACTTTGGTGAAGATCAGATCACATTTTATGACCAATTTATGCAGAAAACCGAGAAACTGCTAACATTTCCAAACAGTGCCATTACTTTTCCTTGCGACTGTATAATTACAGACTATTATTCCTCAGTGGGACAAAAGGCCTGCAAAGATGTCATTCCAAATAGCTGAGAACAAACTCCAGCTAGTGGATGCCAGGAGCTTTTAATTCACAAAGCTGTTTAGGGGAAAAGAGACTGGGCTTTAGTACAGTTGGGCAGTAGTGTGCAAGGAGAGTGAGAGGAACATAGTAAATGTAATGTGCTCATTCTCCTCTTGTTCCTGCAGCAGTGACTATCCTTTAACCTCTTCACATCCATATAGTATGACACTGGAAGTTCAACATTATGCTCTTCTTTCTTCTCAGTGCCCTTATCTTGTGCTCAGTGGTCTCACCCTCACCCCTTTAAACCTCTTACAGACGCTGCACCGTATCTGAATTCCTTACACCTTATTCACTTTTAGCTTCATCACTGGTAATCTTTCGTGACTTCTTTGTAGCTTCACATTTTCTCTCCTATTCCGTTTTTTTTTTGCTTCAATTGTCTTTCTCTCTCACTCTGCCCGGGACAAGGCATCTGCCCTCCAGATATGTAACCGGTGCTCTCTCAATCTAACTCCCACCTCTTGTCCTCATCTTTAACTCCTGGCATCATGCTCTGTTTTTCACATATGCACTTATCACTGTAAGGTTTGGTTTATTTTTTGAATAATGTTATTTATGGGAAAACTGTGTTTTCCCATAAATAACTTAGAATGTCTGGCTTTAATTTTCGGGCTGCTTCGGAACTTATAAACTTGAACTGGAAATAGTTGTTTATTTTCACATCCAGCAGATACAGAGCAGCATTACCACTCATTTGAAGTCTAGTTTCTGGTCACCTGATAAATATAAGCCAGGTATTCACTCTCCTATACCTCTGATTCTAGTCTCAACCAGCTCCTGAGGGAAATATCTGGTTGTTAAGCTGGTTAATGCTCCACTATGTTCTTCAGCTAATAGCTAACTGTATCTGTCTGCTGTATAGTACAGTGGGTTTGTAGAGCCAAAGGTGTCTTCCAGAGAGCTCCGTAAAGTAGAGGGCAGCTGCAGAATCAGCCAATAAATCTTTCTATATTCACCATTATAAGCAAGTCCTTTCACAATGTCACATTGTTTCCACAATGGTATTCAACAAAAAAAGTTTATTTTATTCAGATTAAGCACTATATTTTTCATAAATAAAAAAGAGATTAATTATAAAGATTCTTATTCTAAATTTTCTGTGAGAGAGATGTTGGTCTTAGTGAATTAAAATCACAAGCTGGCAAATCATGAATAAATTCACAATCAAGTGAAATGTAAGGGTAAATTTAATCTACACACATCCTAAACACAGATAAAACCAATCTACAAAATTACATTGCATTGCCAAACAACCAGAATTACTGTTTTGTAGTTCTATGCCTCAGGCAACCAGTCAAATTTATGGGTGTGGGACAGAAATGAGGTCA